AATTGAGCAAACAATTAAAAAATGCCCTAAAGTAAGTCTTGGCCCAGATGGCTTCATGGCTGAATTCTACTAAACATTCAGAGAAGACCTATCCCCCAATTCCACTTAAATTACTCCACAAAGTAGAAAAGAAAATAACAACCCAGAGTCATTCTCTGAAGCAAAAACAACCTTAAAATAAAAACTAGGCGTGCTCGCTTCGGCAGCACACATACTAAAAATTGGAACGATACAGAGATTAGCATGGCCCCTGCACAAGGATGACATGCATTCCATATTAAAAAAAAATCAAAACTAGGCAAAGACATTACCAAAAAAGAAAACTACAGACAAATATTTCTCATGACTATAGATGCAAAAATCCTTGACAGAATCCAGGCCATGACAATCCAGTAGTGTATAAAAAAAAAATAATCATGACCAAATAAGATTTATAACAGATATGCAAGAATGGTTCAACATAAGAAAAACAATTAATGTACTTATAACGTAATTTATTAATCAAAGAAAGAGCAAGAACATCATGATCCTATCAATTGATATAGAAAAGGCCTTTGATAAAATCCAATAGCTCTTTCTCATAAAAACATTCAACAAAATAGGAGTAGAAGGAAATTTCCTCAATGTTGTAAAAAGTATGTATGCAAAACCAAGAGCCAATATCATTCTCAATAGAGAAAGACTAAAGACATTTCCCTTGTGAACAGGGATCAAATAAGGATGCCCAGCATCACCACCACTATTCAATATTGTATTGGAAGCACTTATTAGGCCAATACGACAAAAGAAGGAAATAAGAAGCATCCAAAAAAATTTTTAAAATATATGTGAATTTTAAATTATCTTCTATTACTGTCTTTTAACTTAATTATAATAATATTAAAAAATTTTGTAGATGTCAATTTCTTGACATTTTCTAAACACTATGTTACATGCTTATTGCCTGGTGAAAGTTTGTAAATGTTCCAGGTGTTCAAAATAATTTTTTACATGTTAAATTTTCTAAGAGTGTCTATTAGATCATGGCTCTTAATTTGTTGTTCAAAATCTCTTACTGTTTTTATCTACTTGTTAAGCCAATTTTGTAACTCACAGTAGTTTTCTTTTCCCTTGTAGTTCTATCAATGCTAACATTACATATATATTAAAGAAGGAAGCTCTGGAGATATAGTCTAAAAGGAGTTGTACTGCTAATCGAAAAACAGTCTCTCTGGTAATTCAAATCCACCAATAGGCAATCTTTTCCGTGCAATTTACAGCCTTGAATAGCCCTCTGTGGATCAGTGGAATAGGTTCTGATTCAAAGGCAATGAGTTAACTGAGTTGATTATATGCTAAAAATATATTAAAAGATGCCCACCGCACCTATTAGGGAGCTCTGGTGGCCTAGTGGTAAGAAACCATGCTACCAAACAAAAGGCATCATAGTTCAAATTCCCAGTTGCTCTACAGGAGAAAAATTAGCCATTTTTTCCTGTGGGATTAACTGCTTATGAACCTGCTGGAGGGTTAGCTATGAATCATTCCTGTTCATAACAACAACTACTACACCCATTGGGATAAAGTCAAGTCTTACTTAAATGAAACCTTTAGGACAAAATAGAACTGTCCATAGCCATATCTTTCTTCAATAGAACAACTGGTAGGTTCAAACTACCAACATTTCAGTCTGTATCCAAATAATCCAGTCACCATTGTTATTAATGCATCTTGATTGCATGTTCAATCAATCTCCGTAAAAGTTGGTAAAAATCTTATTTCCTCTTCCTTGGCTCTGGTTGTTGGCGCATACATGTGAATGATAGTGGTATTCACTGGACTTCCTTGTATGCGTATGGATATTATCCTGTCACTCACAATGTTGTACTTCAAGATGAATCTAGAAATTACTTTCTTAACTATGAAAGCAACTCCATTGTTCCTCACCTTTTCATCTCCAGAGTAATATATCATATGATCATCCGACTCAAAATGCCCCATGCCAGTCCATCTCATCTCACCATTGCCTAGTATGTCAATATTTATGAGTTCCATTTCTTCCTTAACAATATCTAATTTTCCTACATTCATGGGTCTCACATTCCATGTCCCAATCACTAGTATCTGCTTACAACTGTTCTTCTTCCTTTGTATTTCCATACTTGAAAGTTCAACCTCAGTTGCCCTTTCTGTTATTCTAAATGTGTTCTGTTGTACATAGGGATTTCAGAGGCCTGCTATTTCAGAAGTGTATGGCCAATCCTTCTTCCTAGTCTGTCTTAATCTGAATGTTTAGACTTAGAGAAGCATAAGACAGACCAGCATTTTACAGAAGAAGTGAAAGATATATCCCTTATTGTGGAGTTAACCATTAGTATCAGTGTTGTCACTGCCTTTGGCAAATGTGTCTTTATCCACTCATTTCCCTACTCCACCATCCACTAGGATACCCATCCACTTCTACCCACTCCCTTCAACATCTATCTCCAATTATCCAGCCCTTGATCTGACAGCTATTGATAGTTTCTTATGCTATGACCAGGGTCCCTTAAATTTAGTGGTAATGTTTCCTGAGCAAAGGTGATGTGTCCTGTAGAACTGGTTTTTCTTAGATAGGTTTTTCTTAGCCCGAGGGCCGCAACAGATGCTGCCCTGGACGTGCTCACCACATTGTGCCAAGAAATCCGGAGAATAACCACTTGGCCAACTGACTGGCAGAGATCTATACTTGTTCCCATCCCAAAGAAGGGTGACCCAACAGAATGAGGAAACTATAGAACAATATCATTGATTTCACATGCAAGCAAGTTTCTACTGAAGATTATCCAAAAACGACCAGAACAGCACATCAGCAGAGAACTGCCAGAAGTCCAGGCTGGGTTTAGAAGGCTGGGTTTATTGTAGCTGATGTTAGATGGATCTTAGCTGAAAGCAGGGAATACCAAAGGAATGTCTATCTGTGTTTCATTGACTATGCAAAGCCGTTTGACTGTGTGGATCATAACAAACTGTGGCTGACTCTGAGAAGAATGGGAATCCCAGAACACTTGATTGTTCTAATATGAAATCTATACTTGGACCAGGAGGCAGTCGTCAGAACAGAGCAACGAAACACTGCATGGTTCAAAATTAGGAAGGGTGTACGCCAGGGATGCGTCCTATCTCCATACCTTTTCAACCTGTATGCAGAACAGATTTTTCGGGAGACTGGGCTCTATGAGGAGCAATGTGGGGTCAAGATTGGTGGAAGATCCATCAACAATCTGCGTTATGCAGATGACACAACCCTGCTTGCTGAAACTGAGGAGGACCTGAAGAGCTTGCTGCAGAGGGTCAAGGACTGCAGCCTCCAATATGGATTGAGGCTCAATGTCAAGAAGACAAAGATTCTCACCACTGGACCAATTGGCAGCATCAGGATGGATGGTGAAGAGATTGAGATTGTTCACAGCTTCAGTTTGCTGGGCTCCCCAGTCAACACTCTTGGAACCAGTAGCCAGGAAATTAAAAGGCGCATTGCCATGGGAAAGTCTGCTGTTAGGGAGCTTTTGAAAGTACTCAAGAGCAATGGTGTGACTCTGGAGACTAAGGTGTGTCTGATACAGGCCATCTTCTTTGCAATCACTTGTTATGCATCAGAGAATTGGACAATGACTAAGGAGGATAGAAAGAGAATTGATGCCTTTGAGCTGTGGTGCTGGAGAAGAGTATTGAGAGTCCCATGGACTGCTAGGAAAACAAACAGATTCACCCTGGAAAGTGTTAAACCGGGGGCTCCTTGGAGGCAAAGATTCTGAAGCGCCGTCTAACATACTTTGGACATGTTGTGAGGAGAGACTGGTCCTTGGAGAAGGACATCATGCTTGGTAGGGTGGAGGGACAGCGCAGGAGGGGAAGACCCTCTATGAGGTGGATTGATTCAGTGACTGGGTAAATCATGATGGGAGTGTCTGAGACGGTGCGATTGGCACAGGACAGAGCAGAGTTTAGGGCTGTTGTACATAGGGTCGCTATGAGTCTCAAGCGACTCAATGGCACATAACAACAACAACAACATCCAAATACTCAACTACTTCATCCCCAGGGCTCCTTGTGAGGTGCTGAGGTGAATATGATTATATATATATATATCTCCATGAAAATAGAAAAATTCATACATATATATGAAATTTTCTAATTTTTGATGAATTATTTTCTAGTTTATAAAATAATTACTTTTCTAATAATGGTTTTCCTCTTTGTTCACATTAATATATATGAAATTATTCTGTATTTGTTAATATTTGTCCAGCATCTATTATTTCCCATTTTCTTTTTTTATTTCTTTATTTTTAAATGTACTCATTGTTGCACATTTCCCTCTGTTCTCCTTCTCCAAGACCCTCTCAATATCCCCTTTGCTTCAAACTGTTCTCATACAGAGAATGCATAATGATATATTCTTTTTAAACAGTTCTTCCCTTAATCTGTCCCAATTTTTCTATTTTCCTATTTCCATTATATAGCTCATAAAATTTACTTCTGTAAATTACAACAGATGAGATTCTTAAATTCAGTCTGAATTCTTTGTCATTCAACTGAGACAGTAAATATTTTTACATTGGTTGTGATTTCTGACAAATTTTGGGTTACCTTAAGTGGAATTCTTATCCATCCTTTCTGAAATAATTCCTATTTTTGTTATATTTTGTTTTATATTTAGTCATTCCTCCATAAACATATTGGGTAAACAATATTATCATTTTTTATAAAAAATCAGCTTTTTAAAGTTTTACACACATTTAATTTTTAGGGGTACACCATGAGAATAATCATGAGGAGAAGGAAATATTGCTATACCTCTAGAATTATAAGTCATTTTCTCTTCATATAATGAATTTTTATTATTTAATGTTCATACTTTATTGACCTTTGATTTTTAAGATAAATCAATAAAGCTGAACAACACTAAATAATAATTCTGAGATAGAAGCTCTGGCTCTTCCTGTGAATTATTTAGGCATTCACCTCTTCTTACTCACCTCCTATCTGTAGACTGGATTGAACCTCTCTACTCAGTGCAGAAGTCTGAATGGAACATGATATGTTTCCAGTACCTTCCTTTATTATAAAGGATGTCTCCACATCAATCATGCCATGACTGTCTGCATTCATTTTGGAATCGGAAGGTAAATCATGTCCTTGTGGGCCTTTCCACTTCACTGTGGGCTGGGGGAACCAGCCTGAGGACTTGCAGAGTAGCTGGATTCCTCCATCAACATATCCCATAATAGAAATGAGAGGAGTTGAGCCCAGAGCTAGGGAGAAAAACAAAAAGAAATGAAAATAAAGATCATTTCCCAGGGCCACAGTTAATCTGCACCAAATACACCAAACATGTTATTTTTCCCTTTCTTTTCTGCTTTCTCCCTGTCTGTCCATTCTCATCTGTCTATTGCCCATCCACTCCTGTCTCTCTATTTTTTTCCTCTCTCCTTTCCCTTGTCTCTTCTCTTTTTCTCTCCCTTTCTATATCTTCCTCATCTTTTTAGTATATATGCACTTCTTACTGCTCTGAACTTTTCCAAGGCCTTTGTTTAGTTAATATTTATTTAACATTTATTATGTTTGTCTCCAAGCACTACATACAATGATGTGAGTTAGATCTCAATATGATGATATCTCACTAAATGTACAGGGAAGTAAATGTAAAAAAAATACATCTTGTGAAAAGTGAGAGAACAAACATGTCTGTCTTGGAGAGGATAAACCAAGTTTCTCCTTGGTGGCAAGAATTTTGATGCCCATCTCATATACTTTGGGCACATGGTCAGGAAAGACAAGTTCTTGGAGAAGGACATCGTGCTTGGAAGGGTAGAGGGACAGCACAGGGGAAAAAGTCCCTAGATGAGAAGGATTGACTCAGTAACTTAGGTAATGAAGGTAGGTGTGTCAGAGACAGTGAGATTGGCCCAGGATAGGTCAGGGTTCAGAGCTATTGTACATATAGGATCAAAGTGATTCAAGGACACATAACAGTAACAACAACAACAACAATTATATCTGTTTCCAAGTACTAAATAAAAGATGTGAGTTAGAGCCCAATCTGATGATTATCTCACTAACTTAAAACAAGGTCAATGTGAAAAAATACATTTCATTGTGAAAAGTTAAAGCAATTCCCTGTGAAAAGTGTAACTATGGAAGCACTTTTTATATGGGACAGAGGGTTGATTAATAATGAGGTTAACCACAAAGTACATGTGTTGTTTACAGTTGTTGTGCCAGGTTAAGGCAATCTAGTAATTTAGCCTGTAAATTTTACTGCTAATGAAAAGGTTGTGTCTTTAATGATTTGGACACACCAGCAGCTACACTGGAAAAAGATAAACAGTCGCTCCCATCGCAATTTATAGTCTCATAAATCTGATGCTGACACTGTGTTATGCTTAAGAACTCATTTGGTATTTCTTAATTGTGACATTCAAGAAAGAATAAATATGAAATGACGTCTGCGTGAGGTACAGAGACACGAAGTGGAGACAATGTACTGGCCTCAGAGGTGTGGACTATTATAATCCTATAGAACTGTTGGCCAAATTCATCAGATGTGAGCCAACTAGGCCTGCAAGGTAGAGATTACCTTAAAGCAGCTTCAAAAGAAGAATTGTCATATAAGAGACCACAGAATTCACTGTGTTGTTTCTGTGTACCATTAAGTTGGAAATGACCCATACTATGCAGCAGGTTTTCTAAGGCATTTAATTGCAGAAGAGAGAATTGCTCATCTTTCTCCTGTAGAGCAGCTAGTAGAGTCAAACCATGTACCTTTGTGTGGGCATCACAATTCATTAATACTAAGCTCCCTAAATTACTAAAGTGAGAGAAATTAAGGGCTGGACCAAAAAGGAATCTATGAGAATGAGAGAGAAAAATTAAGAGGTATTTGTGAGATTATTGAAAATAGAATATAGTGGTGATTGAGAAAAAGTTAGGGGTGACTTCCAGATTTATGACTCGGTACTCTAAGTAGGGTATCTCTTTCTGAGGTAAACCATATATGATCAGTTGTTATTTATATTCTCCTCCACAAAAAAGAACTAACTATGTGTGTTTCTGTATCTCCCAAGGTCTAGACTTATGCATGAAAACTAATAAATGTTTTCTTAAGAAGATTATGTAAGCATAAGGAAAGAACTCTTAATGAGGTTACAGGAATTCATCTCTAGCTTCTCCATTCTCTACAGTTATAAACCTTAAAAATAAAACACACAGGACAATCCAAGATGGCGGTGGAGGCAGAGACAATGTGGTGAGCGGTGGGAGCAGCAAACCACTTAGAGCAGGGCCACTATGGCCTTCTACAGACTTCAGGTTTTTTAAATAATTGAACAGTTAAACAGTTGACGACTGGCCCTCAGTGAAGATCGAGTCTTAACAACAGGAATTCGAGGATTCCCAAGGAGAAAAGGGTGAGTCTCGCGGGTCCCACCCCCCTCCCGCAGAGCCCGCATAGCGCCACCGCAGCAGCTCCATGAGGCTTCCACAGCTGGAACGAATGTATTCCCTCACCCAGGATGGATGCTGGGCACCGGGCCCTCCTCAAGACTGGTGCAGTGAAGCCGCCACACTGCCGCAAGGTGGACTTGTTCTGGAGAGAATTCATGGAGCCACGATGGCGGCGGTGGGGGAAGCGGGCACCCGCCGGCCACCCGCACAAGAGGGGCCACAAGCCCGCTGGGCACCTGCCCCGGGGGGGGGGACGCTCCCCCAACAGCTGCCTGTGCAGGAGGCAGGAGATCAAATGCGTGCCCACCATCTGCAGGTTTGGGTTTCCTTGGACAGATCAGAGAAGACCATCACCTATACAATGGATTGCTGAAAGTCACTGTGAGTCAGATGACACTTAACAGTGGCAGCATGCACAAGAGGACTGACTTCCTAAATGCACCACATATTTTGTTCTGTTGAATGCTTCTGCCAAAAGATGGTTAGACCTGGGGGGAGTCTGTTCACAATTCTCAGGTTCCCTTTACCATATACAAAGGGGGAGGGCAGTGAAACCTACTTCAAAATATAGTATGACCACTAATGGGGGGGGGTAAAAGTGGTGGTGCTAGAATTGGAGACACTATCCCTGACCACATAGTCCTCAGTCAGGCGAGGGGACCAGACTGGGGTAAGGGCAATCGGGGTGTATACCAGCCAGCTCCCGGGGGGTGTTGCCCTGCTCGGGACAGGCTGCCCTTGGCCCCTGGCTCCAGGCGAGCCATCGCAGCCCTCAGGGTGAGCTCCTTAGTCCCCAGATTGTGCCATCTGACCCCTGGGTGGGGAAGAAAAAGAAAAAAAAAAGAATGCCTAGGGTGTCCAGAGAATGTTATCTAAGCCACCTTCTGCCACCCTCTCCCCCAGTAAACCTGAAAGCAACACCCTCAAAGCCCTTCTATTTGTAATTCACAAGTTTGTTCTCTCTAGGTATGCTCTCTTTCTGAGTTTTACTCCAGAAGTGACCCTGAACCCAGTGCCAGTGACAAAAAGGAAACACAACTGACAGCTAAGGAAGCAAAGGAGGATGGAGCCTCTGGGTTCAACCAGCCATCCCCACTGG